AATATTCTCATGGGCAATTTTATCATACCCAGCATAGGATGAACGAGGAGATTTTGGTTTAAAGTACACGGTTTTTTATAGATAGTTTAGAAGCAATATCATTATAATTTTTTGTTTCAGGTATATTTTTTATAGTGCTGGATGGTGTGGAAAGGACTTCAGCAAAAGGCTTTGTAACAGCAGGGAGCAATTTTGAGACCTCAGGATGTGAGATACAATTTTGAGCCATATATAACTTTATTTGCTTTTGTCTGTTGAATTCTGGAGAAGATTTGCTAGTAGAAAAAAAAATGTTTTCCTGAACATAGACAGCAAAAAGCATCTTCCACATCACATGTTTTGTCCGCATTTAATACAGCGTGGCTTTGACCTGTATTGAATTTTTGTGTGACCATACCGTCAGCAATTGTAACATTGTATAGTTGGATAGGTGTATAATTCTACTGGTAATGCATTATAACACATGAATATTCTTTTTAGTAATACCTGACCATCAAATGTGACTACTACTGTCTGAGAAGGTTTCCAGGTGGGAGAGCCATCAACTATAACTTTGTTAATTTAGTCGTCTTACTTTAAGTATATTGTCACAATCGATAGAAACAGAAATATTTTGTAATATCTCCTCTGGACTCCAATCATTTGGAACACCTCGTATCGTACGTGTGATATTAAATGTTGGTATAAACGCTAGTGATTTGTGATTATTTAAACTGTATGGTGGTTAATGAATGTATTAGCATCATGGCAAACTGAGAAAGATAATGCAATTTTATTTCGTCCAATGCGTTGTACACTTCCATTAATAATGTTTTTAAAATACTGTTTTTTTGAGGAATTTACCAAATGTCACGTGGTGAAGTGTAGTATAGTCATTTGGAGACTTTTTTTGCCTTACTACATGAACTAAGTATGGGGAATGATCTGTGGGTTCATACATTTTCCTTCCTATTGGTTCAGAAATATTTATTTATTTATTTATAAACTCTTTATTGCACCAATCGAATTAATACATAAGAGAATTAGACAGAAAAGAGATATGGAAGTACAAAAGGCGGTCTTATCGCTAGAAGCAATCTCTTCCAGACAATCTTTAGGTAGAGAAAATATAACAAAAGTGGTAGGTGGCGCATGAATAGAATGGAAGAATATATATATAAAGATAATAATAGGGATAGGATAATAATACCAATAAATATTAGAAAATAACACACATTATTTATAAAATATATACATACATAGATATAAAAATATAAATTTACAAAAATTACAAGCAATATATACATACACATATAAATATATAAATACAAGTACAAAACAACAATGTCATATGCAAAGAAACAAAACACATAACAAGAAGGAATACAGGGAGATTTAAGTGGAAAGGTAATGGGATTTAAGCTCTTAAAAATGGGTAGTGATTCTGCGCTACGAATGGAGTAAGGTATAGAATTCCAAAGGCGAACAGCATGGACTGAGAAGGATTTACTGTAGAATGAGGAACTATGTGAAGGAGTTTTAAGGAGGAGATTTGATGCACTACGCAAGCCATGGTTTTGTGCCTCTCCGAGAAATGAAAATCTTTCTTTAAGATAGTTAGGAGTAACAGGATTAAAAAGAATGGAGTAAAGAAGAGAGAGTATATGCCAGTCACGGCGAAGGCGAACAGGGAGCCACTTGAGCTGTGAACGATAATGTGAAACGTGGTCATATTTGCGTAGTCCAAATATAAACCTGATGCAGAAATTTTGAAGACGCTCAAGTTTGTTTAATTGGTCTTCGGTGAGGTCCAGATAGCAGATGTCAGCGTAATCAAGGATAGGAAGGAGTAGGGTATGCGCAAGCGTAATTTTGGTGCTGACCGGCAAAAGGTTGCCTAACCTCCTGAGTGATCCCGCGGCAGCAAAAATCTTGCGACTAACTTCAGCAATCTGAACAGACCAAGACAATGTCCTATCAAAGTAAATGCCTAGGTATTTAACACTATCACTATATTCAATGTAGGTACCATCTAACACTATTCGAGGTAGGGTGCACCAATTGATTCTACCAATATACCGTGGACTACCAATAATAATGGCCTGTGTTTTTGAGGCGTTCAGTGTTAAACTGAAGTTTTTGCACCAGTTGGATATGAGTTCCAGATCTGCAGTAATCGTATCTATGGCAATGTCAATATCATCTAATGAAGATTGCGAATAGATCTGGAGGTCATCTGCGTAAAGGTGGTAGGAGGAATGAAGTTGCATAGTAATGGAGTTAATAAATAACGCAAAAAGAAGCGGGGATAAGACGCCACCCTGAGGTACGCCGGCAGAAGTTTGTCACCACGAGGAATGGGTATTCTCAACGCGTATACGCTGCCGACGCCCATACAGGTAATTATGAAACCAGTCAGTTACCGTTGGAGATATGTTGATTGAACGCATGCGAGCCAATAGGACATCGATATCAACGGTGTTAAATGCATTACTCAAATCTAGGAATGCCAAAACTGTCACTTGCGAATTTTCCATACCATATCTAATATCGTCGGTGATTTTAAGTAGAGCGGTAGTCGTACTATGGCCAGCCCGAAAACCTGACTGGAAAGGGTTTAGGAGGTCATTTATGGAAAGGAATTTGTTCAGTTGATTATGAACAATTCTTTCAAGGGCTTTTGAAAGGAAAGGAAGAATGGAGATAGGTCGGTAATCAGAAAAGGAAGAAGGTTTACATTTTTTTGGAAGAGGAATAATATCAGCATCTTTCCATATAGAAGGGAAAACACTTGAAGACAATGAGTTATTGAAAATGAAGGTCATTGTTGGAAGGATCACATCAAGGATAGGAAGGACCATAGCACGACCAATGCCGTCAGTACCTAAAGCATCAGAATGTATTGATAGTAAGCTCTTCTCAACATCACAATCGGTAACTGGACTAAAATTGAAACATGGAATATTAAGGGTTGGTATGGTAGAAAGGAGATTTAGAGTATTTGTTTTAGTGTTGTTGTCAAAAACAGCGGAAGAACAGAAATGCCTATTAAGGTGGTCTATATCAATATTGAAAAAAATTGAATTGGAACTGTGACTTTTACCAACCCCTAGAGATTTAAGAAATTTCCAGACTTTAGCCGGATCACTATTTTCAACAGATGTATGAATGTGGCGACGTTGTGCCTCTCTACACACCTTATTACAGTAGTTTCTAGCCTTTATATATTGGTCACGGTATTTGTCAGGATCGGATTTATACTTTGCCCTAGCCTTGTTTTTCTTGGCTTGTATATCCTTTATTTCTTTCGTTAACCAAGGCGCAGGCAAGTGTTTTACACGAACAGGTCGAACAGGAGCATGGAGGTCATATAGCTCTGTGATTTTTTTATTAAATAAATTAATCTGCTCGTCTACAGAAGTCGCATTGTAAACGGAATCCCAATCAGCAGCCAGGGTATCTCTACGCAAGGAATCCAGGTCGATAGCGCCAAAATTACGCTGCATAATAATTTTATGTCTGTATTTGGGAGGGCGGATTTTAAATGAAAGGAAAATTAGGTCGTGAAAAGAAAACGCATCTGCAGTGTGCTGCCCATGACTCGCGACGTGATCAGGAGATGAAACAAGGATAAGATCAAGTAGTGACGGTTTGCAACTGGGAAAGTAGTGCGTAGCATGAAGAGGTAAAATGCTGAGGTTCCAAGCCTTAGTCACTGACCGGAGACTATTATTAATTTCATTTGTTTCTTTAGATGTGGATCATTGTGGAGTGGAAATCACTTCCGGGAGGGTATTTTGTATTTCAATGGCATCATTTGTGTCATCTGTACAGTGGCAATCTGTAATTTTATCTGAATATTTCTTCTCCGTTTGTTACAATTTTTACAAAATTTTTGTAACCGGCTGCGTTTTATTGACCGGCTTAAACAAGACGTATTGGTTTCCATACCCGATTCGCATGAAATTCTAACATAGTTAGAAGCCGGAGGGAGGAATCCCCCCGGGTCGGGGGAATCGTCCATAAAAATAAAAAAACGAAAAACTTACCAATAAAACAGCTAAGTATATATACATCATCATCTGCTTCATCCTTATCCCATTTATTTGGGGTCGGCGTAATATGTTTTTCGTTTCCATTCATCTCTGTTCGCAGTCATCGCGTTATTTACTTCCTTTCTTACCATATCATCTTTCACACAGTCCATCCATCTCTTTTTTGGCCTTCCTCTGCCCTTATAACCATCCACATTCATTTGTAACATCTTTCTTAAAATATTATCCTCGTTCCTACGCATTACATGTCCATACCATGATAGACGATTACTCTTCAACCTCTCTGACACCGGTGCCACTTTCATACTTCCTCTAATGTATTCATTCTTTATCTTATCCATTCTTGTCACACCACACATCCACCTCAACATTCTCATTTCAGTTGCATGCAGTCGTCTTTCATCCGTCGCCTTTACGGGCCAGCACTCTGATCCATACAAGACAGCAGGCCGGATCATGGTCTTGTAAATATATACAAACTATAATAAACAAATTAAATAATAGATATTCAACGTTCAATGTTTCCCGCCGCTGTTGCAATTAAATTAATATAATGAAATGTCATTGAGCCAAAGCGACATACCTTGTTCTACCCCACAATGAAAATCCTGAGATTTGTAGATTCATGGTAACACAAAACTACAGGGAATTATTGTACCTACATACTCATATTTGACAGAAATCACAGATCGAATATAATCGTAATTCAAAAAGAATTTTTATATTTTAAAATAAGAAAATTTTGATTTTTATTTTATTTAATATATTTTACGGCTCTGGATACAAGTCCTTTTTAGCCCAACTTATTACGTTATCTGGGTCACTATAGCTACCCTTCTTGTATGTATTAGATACTGCGTTGGGTGTTAGAAAACAAGCTAATTTGCCCTCAGATTTAACCATAGACTAAGGAAAAGTACTAAAATTGGAATACGTGAGTACGACAGTGTCATTTTGACGCATATACATTTTTTAGTTCATAATAAATTTAAACAGAAAATTTTGAGTAAAAATTTTACGAATATGGCAAGAGCTGCGAGAATAGCTCTTGACTTAGCGCTTGGTATGTAATAACGTAATTAAAAGAAACTGTAGCAAAACAAAAGTAGACCAACAGAAACTTTCGTCGTTTTAATTTTTTTTGCTGTAATTACAATTAGAAAAATTGAATTCGTAACCGAATTAATCTGATCTCCTTTGCGTTGTTGCAGTTTCTTTGAATATAGTACGGCCAACAGTTTCCAAAATATGGGATGTTGCTAAATCAGCGATCACAAATACATCAGCTAAACCATTAGTATGCAACAAAGTCGTTACACAGATTGAAATATCACTCGACAAAATAACAAGCACACTACTTTTTAAAATGAGGGCACTCAGAGACAGACAACTGCCAAAAGAAGAAAAATACTTGAAAGAAGAGTTAGAAAAAGTTAGAAGAAAAATTAATGGTGATAGTGACAATAGTTCACAGGGTGATGGAAGACGATACTGAAGCTCAAAGAGTGGAATTATCTGTTTTAATCTTTCAATACTTTCTATAATTTAAATTTAATTTTAAATAAAATTTCTTAAACATAAATTTTCTATATGTTTTAGCATCCAGTAAGGCACTGAGACCCACTTTGGGATATATTTGGCAATATGCTAAAACTGAAGTAGTGCCCCCAATGACCCTTAATTTCTTTCACGGTTCTGGGGGAAAATCTTTGGAAAATACCATATCAAAATTCGCGAACGGATTTATAGCCGGTATAGAGCGAAAAATTAAAGAAACGGATGCAGAACAATTGAGAGTTATAAAAGGAAGGGAGGCGGCTATTAAAGCACAACAGGATAAAACAAAAGCCGCAGCAAAAAGAAAAGAAGAAAAAAGGAAACGACAAGAGAAACAGAAAAAGAAAGAATTAGAAATAGCAGCACAAGTAAAGGCAAGAGAAGAAAACAAAACTAAACCAGAAAAAGAAACCCCAAAAAAAAACGACAAAAGAAGCTGAGAAGAGGGAACCTGTAAGGAACAAGAAGCCAAAAAAACATAGACGTGTTGAGAAAAAAAGGTCGTTTCCAATAAAAAATCACAAATGATACCATGTATTGTGATGTATGTTTATAAAATTGTGAGTTAAGCTACCTTGTCGGCGTCATCGAGGTTAAAAAAAATGTATATAAAATTAAATACCTATACTTATACTTTTTTTTATATTCGGTCACAATTTATACATAATATAAGCAAATCACGGCGTCTTACCACGATTTATTTATTTTTATTGAGTTCCCGATACTTCGTCAGTGGTAACTGCCGCCGTGGTCACGGGAAAACCGAAGTATCGGGAACTGAATAAAAATTAATATAACGTGGTAAGACCCTGTAATTTTCATAATTTTACTTTTAAAATATCTATTTGTCCTTTTCCAAAGCATTTCGTTACTTTTAATATAGAATCTCAAATTTATAACTTCTATCCGATTTCGTTAGCGTGATTATGATTAGCTGGAATAAAACACGGCATTGTGTTGTCGAAAGTTTACATATGTGACATTTCATTTGACGACCTTGGTGGTCCAGCTGTCTAGTACCGCTTTACGACGATGATCGCGGGTTCGATTCCTCGCACGGCACAAACATTTGTATTCATGAGTATGATTGTTTATATCGGTCTGGGTGTTTTCTATGTATAATATGTATGTATTTACAAAAAAAAATATCTATGTATATGTATCAGTTATCTAGTGCCCATAACACAAGCTTTTGCTAGCTTAACTTGGGTCTTGATGGCGCTGTGTGAATTGTCCTGACATTATTATTATTATTATATTGGTTGAGATGTTGATATCCATGAAATATATAATTTTTGGCATTTTTTTGGATCTAGAGGTATAAGTAGCAAACAAATCTTGCAAAAGCTATTGTACAATACAAGAGCGTGACATAGATACCTATATAGTAATTTTAGGACAATTCACACAGCGCCATCTAGACCCAGTTAAGCTAGCTAAAGCTTGTATTATGGGTACCAGATAACTGATACAAATACAGATATTTTTCTTAAATACATACACATTAGATATACATAGAAATATATAATACCAATACAAACAATCATACTCATGAATACAAATGTTTGTGCCGTGCTAGGAATCGAATCCGCGACCATCGGAAGTAAGGCGGTGTGGTAAACCACTAGGCCACCGATGTCATCACTTATGTTATTCTACCATTCTATTATTACGAGCAGATATAAATGTACTACATTATCGATATAGAGTGATCGTTCAAGATTGATAAATTCATTTTTCCATTTAAATTTTATTATCTCTATGTAGTCTTAAATAACAAGATAAGGATATTAACTAAAAACACTTTATTATTGTCGCCAAAGAAAATATAATTACAAGTACATAAAGTATTATATAAAAATTATATATAAAAAAAGATGTAAAGTTTCTTTACAATAACCAAGTTTCAAACTTCCATTACTTTAATATTCCAAACTAATAGCACTCGCATTAAGAAGGACTTTTAATCCCCTTGTCCGAAGAAGGAGAGTAAGTATTTATACTGCATAAAATGTCCCTTTTCGTTTACTCAAACTGTCGCATTCTGGATCTAGAATTCCAGAATGCGACAGTTTGAGTAAAGATAAATAATTGACGAGGTTATACCACTTTCTTTATATAGCTTCCTATATAACTCAATAACTGAGTACCTACATTATATTTTGTAACTTTGATGCAAGTGATAATATAGTTATCTAATCTTATTATTGTTTTTAAAGCATATCTACTATACCTACTCATAAATGAGTTCCTATTTTCATAAGTGCATAGTATATGTACTATGCACTTATGAAAATAGGAATTATTTATTATTTATATCTAAAAGTATAATTACATATGAGTGACTTATTTAATTTGACGTATACATAGGCATACCTACAAATGCATGAAATTATGTCTATGGTACCTGTGTGCAGAAAGGTACCGAATACGTCAAATTAAATTAGTCACTCATATGTAATTATACTTTTAGATATAAATAATAAATAATTGCGAAACAACATAAATAATATGAATAATGCTAAGCTATTGACTAATATGATACGTACGTATATTTCAATTAGGTACTCCGTTATAAATATTTTATACAATGTTAGATATCTACATTAATCGCGATTTCCAAAGACTTCATTACAATAAAATATATTAATATATAAATAATTTATTCAGTCTAGTAATACCATGGTTGAACCAATATAATCTGAAATACTGGTTTCAAGAAGATACCTAATATCTTGAGTTTTGTCATTTATTTGCAAAGGCTCAATCATGCTGTCATTCTGTCACGGAACTTTCTATTTGCTTATAGGATCTAGATCTGGAATATTTCAAAATATTAGCAAAATCTACCAAATTACTTTAACAAGGAAAGAGAAGATTGTAGATATAATAAAAGGTAATAAGGAATTAAATATATATATAGATATTTAGTCCATTGATAGTAATGGAGACTGTAATATTGCTAGGACATTCCTACAACCAAGCCTTCAGGCGGTATGCCCTGAAAACCATTGTGAATTTATTACATGTAAATTTATTAGGTACGCAGGGGAAACTAAATTCATGCTATTATTTTCTACTGGTATCACGCCAGCGTGCAGATACGCATGTATCCGTCAGGCAGGAGTTGACCTTCAGCCGCTCCATAAGTCCTTCCGCGGATTTGGAGTGCCATTTGCACTCGCCCCCTATCGTTCGGTGAAGCTGTACCGCCGGCCAGTTGCGAACAACAGCATTAGAGTAGTCTGAAAAAAAAACTGCGGATACGTCATTGCGGCTGCGTCGCAGACGCAAATACCCACGATTTTTTTAATAAGTAGGTATGGCAGGTGCCTTGATTATTCTCCAAGTGATAACATAAATCGGCCGATTCCCTGTCCCATTCTAACGGGGATCGAAATTAGAACGTCGTCACCCATAAGGCCTACCTCAATTTTAAACTTAATTTGAGAATAGTTAAAAAACAAGTGATACACTGATATTAAAAATAAATGAGTGATACTATTCGATACTGGAGTTACTAATTACAAGACATTGTCATATTTAATAGATATTAGCTACTTCTATTCATTGCCCTTTCTCTTATTGTGCTGTTTAGACAAAGCTGCACGGGCTTCCAAATCCAAATTGGCCAAAAAGATTCGGGTAGCCAAAGGATACTATAGTTTAGAAATGGCTCCACCAACGTTTAACGAAATACAGGTATTTCTTGTAATAAATAATTATTCCTATTCTCGTTTAGGGATGGCGTATGAGACTAAATGACGGAAGCACAATAGTACCGCATTTATTTTCCATTTCTTGCTCCGAGGTAGAGTTTGTATGAAGTCGTATTCTTGTACCTCTGTATTCCCTACTTCAGCTGCCAAGCAGTTTCGTCACTACATAGTATAAAACAAAGTCGCTGTCGCTATCTGTCCCTATATGTATGCTTAAATCTTTAAAACTACGCAACGGATTTTGAAGCGGTTTTTTAATAGATAGAGTGATTCAAGAAGGTTTATATATATATAATACACCTGTGCGAAGCCGGGGCGACTAGCTAGTACTTTATAAGATGTGTTTTCTTTGATGGAGAAGATATGTTAGTGAAATGACAGAACGCAGAGATATAACAATTAGTCCTCCAGAATTGAAATTCACGACGTCCACGAGTAGTCTCATGAGATAATTTTATTCAGTGCCTTTTTACAATATAAAAAAAAGATAAGATAAAAAAATATACCTGTATTTTTTTATGAATGATAATGAAATGGTGCAGTCGTCTGCGCTAACGGTTTAAGCTGTTGGGGCACCAGTGGAGGACGATAAGACGAATATGAGGTCAGGTCACTTAGCACATCGGACTAAATTACCGGCAATTTATCAAAATAGTTTCCAGGGGAACCGCGTGGAGGTCAACCTGACTGTACCATACATTGCTAGCAATAGCTTTATCAGTCCACATTACTAGCAATCCCTTTCCCTATACATCTATATTATCAAATCATAAGCATCTAATTTTTGCAAAAAGCATAAATCTTAAATAACCATTTCATTACAGAAACTGCGGACAGACTTGGCTGTGGTAAAAGAATTTCTTCAATCGGGTTGCTACAAATTCCTTACGGTGAAGCAGGCGTGGTTACTTACCCTAATCACCATTGAAGTGGCGTTATGGTTTTATTTGGGCGAAACTATTGGGAAAATGCATATTGTGGGTTATAAAGTATGAAAATAACTCACACTACTTATTTCTAAAATGACTAAATAATATATATAATTATATATATACATTCATTGTCAAATAAAAATATTCACTGATACTATTATAGAATACTTATCAAGATCTGTCTATTTTTTAACTTAGTAGCTTCAAATTAATTCAAAAATACAAAATTGTATTCAACGAAGTTTATTTATTTATTATTTAATTATTTTAAAATGCTTATTAAATTGTTGTAACAAATAAAAATTGTAAGTTACTTAACTACCCATTCTTACTCACTAATGCTTATTATGAATGCTAAACTAAAATGCTGGTCTGTCTGTTTGTACCAAACCCTTTTACGTCTAAGCGACTGAAGAATATTTGATGCGAAATTAGGTTTTATATTTGATACCGGACTTAGACTTTATCTAAAAAAATGGTTATAGGCGTGTATCTAAAAAAACAGACAAAGCCGCGGCAAACACCTAGTTTTATATAGATAATCAAGCAATAAGTGGTAGGTATTTCCATAGTAACAAGATGTGTAAAAATATGCATTCTAAATCATGCGTGTTATGAAGGAAGTATTTAACATTGAAGGTTGTAGCAACCCTGACCAAGTCTGATGAATTGTGTTTTTTATAAGTAACATGACGGCATTATATGTTGATAGGCAACTGTTGTAAGTAGTAGACATTATGGTAGTAATAAGCACATAGTGTAATAACTACGTATAACGCTTATTTTTTTTATGTACTTGGACTGCGCCAAACAGGCTGACATGTCCACCTAATTGTAAGCAGTGACAGTCGCCTATGTGAAAATTACGACGGATATTACGTTATCATGTGATACCACTCAAGTGATACTATTCTAGAGGACTTTGAAATAAGTAGGTACTTCTCGGTTCTGTGTGTGATCTACGATGTCCGAAACATATTTTACAAAGCTGCTGTTATCGCTACAGTACAGTAATTTCGAAGGTGTTTGGTAACAAACATCGCAATATGAGAGTTTAATGTATTAGATATATCCCTGGACATTTCACACAACGCCCTCTGATTCAAAGTTAGTGATTGACTGATATAAATATGTACTTAGATTTTTTTGTAAATAGACATAGAAAACACCCAGACCGACACAAACAACTCATGAGTAGGTACAAATGATTGTACCGTGCGAGGAATCGAAGTCGCGACCATCGGAAGAAAAAAGGATGTGCTAATCCGATGTACGAGGCCGTCCGTCGAAGAATTTGAGATTTAACGCCAAACTAATCTGTATAAAAGATAAAAATTATCAAATAAATACTTCTCTACGTACCTAATTACCATTCTTCATTTTATTTTTATTGATAATTATGCTTCATTTCAATTATAGGTGTTCAATGTTACAGACGTGTATTAATATTTTTCGCAATCAATTACTTATTTGTAATTTATCTGGCTAGTATTACATAAAAATACGTACAATTGCAAACTCAGACATCTTTTTTACCCTCAGTTTTGTTTCCTCATGCCGTACTTATATTTATTGAGTGACGAAATTAAAAAAATAAAATTTGACAACTCGTTCAATATGGCGGCAAAGGTGCAATGCGGTGTTTCCGCGGAAACACGAACCAAAGAATTATGATTCAAATGCCGTCAAAAACTTTTAAAAAATGATAGTGTGTGTATCTTGGTGGTGCTCGTAATAAATTAATTATTCCAATTTTTAACAGTGATTGTTTTAATAGTGTTTGTATCGTAATGTTGCGGCGAGTCAATTTTTATTCAATATGTTTCGCGTTCGGTCTCAGTGTTCTCTTAATCCTAGCTGGAAGTCGGTATACAGATAACACAATTTATCGTCCATCCTCTGAGAGCAGAAGGAATATAAAAAATTTTTTGAAAGTCGAGGATGGAGAAGACCATTTACTGCCTGTACCTACGAATCAATATGATGGATTAGCGGACACAGAAAAGTTGTTAGAAAACACTCGAAACAAAATCAAAACAGCGCTCATAAATTACAATTTCTCTTATTCTGGTGTACAAAAATTGGAAGATTTACTCATGGAACAAAATGGACAACCGCTTAGAAGTGTAATCGTTTCAACTTGGAGGTCAGGAACAACATTTCTTGGAGAAGTATTAAATGCTATGCCAGGTAATTATTACCATTATGAACCTCTTTTAAAATATGAGATTATACAGATAAGAGGTCCTCCTCATGCCGAAAAAGCTGTGAGCACTATCAAGAATATGTTAAAATGCAACTATGATGACATGGAGGACTACTTCAGCTATGGCAAAGGACATGTTTTTCAATTTAGCCATAACACAAGACTATGGGGCCACTGTAGATATAAGAGAGAGCTGTGTTTAGATTCAGAATTCACAGGAAGGTTTTGTAAATTGTTTCCCTTCCAGAGTATGAAACTTGTACGTTTGAGATTACGTCTCATTGAAGAGATTTTGGAGGACAAAGAGTGAGTATACTATAATTAAAGTTGATTCTTGACAGTCAATCCTAATAATCTAAATCTCTTTAAAGTTTAATTTTAATGTAATCATTTTCAATAATTATGGTATTATGATTCTTATTTTCTATAGAGTACACTCCTGAAAAACCTAATCTATGCAATGGTAATGGAAAGTTATATTTTATACATTTTGTTTAGAAAATAAATAATAATAATGTTCTATAAAATTTATTGTTCCACCAAGTTTGTATCAAGATTAAAGATGAGTAAATATTCAATTACTGCCTGCGACTCAGAAAAAAAAATCTTTTGGCACTTTCACATAGTAATAGAATCATATCCTATACTATCAATTTACTATCTTTATATGACATCTTAGATCACTATCTTTTAAAGAAAATAGTGATGTTATGAAATACATCCATAATAAATGATTATTTTTTAATTGTAATATACTAGATTACTTAGTGAACTTCTACTCTTTTTCTGTAACTGAAATTACCATGATACCCTTTGTATATTGCCATCCAAGAGAACAAAGACATTATGCCCCTGTACTGGGTAATATAATGGCCCTATCTTACTCTTCAAACAAACACTTAACCAAACAAGTTGCTTGGCAGCAGAATTATGTGGGACAGAGGTATATCACACAGGTGACTTAGTAGGAAGTTAATCATAGTATTCTATGTACTATAATAGACATGCGTATGATCATACACCCATACATTTAAATTATCTGAAACAATTAAAGATCTAAGAACACTGTTTGACCACAAGTAGAATATTAAAAGGTTTTCTTTAATTTTTTTCAGCGGTACTTAAAATTACTAGTTTACTTAGTGTTTTTTAGGGTGTTTTAACCCTTGTGTTATTGTAAACAAAAAAATAATCCAATTCGTGGTTTTTGAGTTTCAGTGAGACTAATAAACACCAATAGATTTTTGAAAATTAGGAATATTATATGATTATAAATTAGGATTATTATTTAATTATAGTTTAATCATGATTTATATCATTATAATCTAAATAAGATAACTACTAATTAATTGTATATCCTATCTAAAATGCAATATATAATGTATTTAGATAATACACATATATGAATATTTTATAGGTGCACTTGATTTTACTTTATCATATACCATTATCTAAATTAAAAATGGTAAGGTATGATATAAGTTTGATTGATATGATGTATAATATATGGTATTATATATGATACATAGATATATAATATGAATATGATATAAGTCCTCTGCGCTGGTACCTCGGTCTCATCTGTTTCGGCTGTCAATCTGCTTGCTTTTTGAGACAAGGCTGTCCAATCACCGGCAGGACATTTTAAGAGGCATGAAATTAGTTGTTATTATCGCAAACACTACTTGATAAAGTAATATTTGTAGTGCTAAGTAATATTTAGTGTTCATGTATGGAAGTGAGTGTTACCACTTACCGTCAAATGGGTCATTTGCCTGTTTGGTTTTATATAAAGTAACTTGTAACCTGACTTATTATTGTGGATTTATGTAATGGTTTTGTTAAATCCAATAATTGGATATTTGAATTTTTGCAGTAGATTAGTATAGTAAGTTCATGGTTTTTTTGATATGACGTGTAACCAGACAGAATGAGGTAAACATTCCACTCTATTAACAATCCTCTTCCCCCCTTAAATTCTTATTATGAAGGATCACTAAACCTTAGTTAGGTTAACTCAACCTTAAGATATAGATAAACTAATATATTGGTCTCCAATTTCAGACTTAATGTTAAAGTGATATTATTGATCCGCGATCCTCGTGGTGTGATGCAATCAAGACAACATCGTGACTTTTGTCAGCCCGCTCCAGACTGCTGGCGGCCGGAGCTCCTATGTGCTGACATGATTAGTGATTATGTAGCTGCTGGTAGGCTGCTTCCAAAGTATCCCGACAGACTAACGTGAGTTGTAATCCGAACTAAAATTATAAATGCGAATGTGAGTTTATTTCTAATCTGCTGAATTGATTATCATGATTTTTGGTATAGAGATATTGGATACTGGAAAAGAATTATAATTTTAAAATATTGGTGGTCGATTGGGGGCAATGTTTTAATATAAATTGCAAAAATCTTATATTATATAATCTTATCTAATATTAAAAGTCAACATGGAGTTTATAGTTTTATAATTATACAAAGTTATTTGATATTGAATTGAATTTATTAAATTTAAGTCAAAGTGTATCACTATCAAATCACTATATTATCATAAAAATGATTAATGTCTTCAATGTCCCTAAGTCATGCATTAATATGCAGAATAATATAAATGTAGTAGTAATATAAGTAGACAGATAGATTATCTAGAAAATTGGTAAGGCCAAGATGCCTTTCATATTAAAACTCTTTGGCGTGGACAGAAGTATTCAATAGAAAACTTACTGAACCTATTTGAACGAAATATTTATTTCGGCTGTTCTTTTAGGGTCCTACTATATTACATTGTAAATATATAAGTAAGTACATAGCATTAAGTATGTACCTACTTAAGGGGGTCTTCCTATGTGACGGCCTGTTTTTTAGGGATATTTTAGGATTTTTTTTTTTCTACGACCAGTAAATATTTAGAGCTTCAAGTTTTTTATCATTTATTAACACATATTTGGACAGTATAAATATAAAATTTCAGCTAAAAATATTCAGTCAAACTAGAGTTACAGCGCTCTGAACACCCCCGCCTCGAAAAAAAGAGCTCCCACTTCCTCCACGATTCCGGCTGATCGGCTTATCTGAAAAAAAAAAAACGGCGTTTTAATTTGTAGGCTTAAAAGCACGGAATGACCTATAATCAAATGAATATAAAAAAAATTGGATTTTTGATAGACATTTGAAATAAAAGTTGCAAATTAGGCGTTTTTTTTTTTGTTTTTTGCTATAAAAAAATCGAAGTTTTGAAAATTTTCGATTGATAATAGTTCATTCCATGCGTTTACATATATTGAGTGTGCCCTGTAAATTTCAAGTAATTCGGTCCAGCCGTTTCTGAGATACAATGGAGGAAAGTTTGAAAAACACAGTTTTGAGAAAAACGCGTTTAAAGTTTCAAGTCCGTTAAAAACTATTAAAATATCAACTTACTCTCAATCGGCGATGCCTGGTCCATAGAGTATTCCTTCCTCTTCCTCGTGAAACTCTTTTAAAGCAGATTGTTCAGCTCTTGAGTCAATCCTGGCTTGTTTAATGACATCACTTACGCGCCGCTCAGAGCGTAAGATTCGCTTTTCATCCCGTTTCTCAACATACGCTTGGGCTTCACGACCAACAGGGCATCCCATAATCGACATAACTTTTAAAATACCTTGAAAACCTTCATTAAAGATAATAACTGCTAAGTAGCTAACAATTTCAACAACTTTGGGACCAGAATGAAGATGTTTAGGAGCGAAAGTCCAAATCAAAGAATTCAAAGATTCGTTATTGTTTTGTGTCTCTGCTCCTAAACAACGAATAAATAATTCGTCTTTCGATAAATCTTCGAAAACCGGTTTGATAGCTTCTACTTGCGGAATTAGAGGTGGTTTATCGTGATGAAATTGGAACATTCATGTTCATGTTATTTTTAAGTTTTTTGGCCGAAGCTGATGTAAATACCGTATCATTTTGGTGGGTAAAACGGTTTCCACTAAACTTTCTTTTTTTACTACGACCAGGATGAACATTTCCACTCGTACTTCCTTTCCGTCCACTCATTATGAAAAAAAATAATTTGTAGCTGTTGCTCTCTTCGAAGTTCAACCAAGACTAAAATAACTTCGGTAAAATATTATAACAATAGAAATTTCTGTTTAAGTCTGTAGAAACGTGTCTAAACTTGTATAAACAAATATATTAATAAAAGGGAGGCCAGGTATAAAGCCGACGGTACACAATAGGCCCGGTCTCTAACTGCCAACTCACCGCTCCGAACCGCTATTTTTTACCCGCTGTATCTTTAAAACGACTTCGAATTTTCTAAAATCGCTTTACTACCGTATTCTAGACATGTTAAGGGAGCAATTTATGAAAAAAAAAATCGATTTTTTCAACCCATCACATAGGAAGACCCCCTTAAGATGCCTGTCATAATAAAAGTACTTTAGGAAGGCCAGAAGTATACAATAGAAAAATTACTGAACATATTTATAATTAAGTAATTATTAGTTCCACATAATAACTATAAAATATTTAATTAAAATTAGTTAAATAAAAACAGATAACAAGTTACAACTTGGACTCTCTCTTGTGAATAAATGACTTACTTACTTACTTACTTGTATGTAGGCACATAGAACTTAAAGGTGTTTCTAAATTGGATATACAACTGAGATTGGAGTTGGAATGCTATTAATAAAATAGTATTAGTTTTAGTTTGTAAACTAATAGAGATTTTGTATTTCTAGTGTGCAAAGGTATGAAGAGCTGGCGCTGAATCCGAACATGACCTCGTACAAACTGCTCAACTTCCTAGGTCTGAGTGTAAATCCGTCAATAGAAGAATTCCTGCACTCCCATACTAATGTAGAGGCGGGTGGTGTTAGTTCCACCTTTAGGGTTTCCCGTGATGTGCCTTTCAAATGGAAAAACGTGTTGGATTTTGATTATGTTGAAGAGATACAAGTGAGTTACTTTCTATTTTCTATGGTAAAGTATAGTCTACTACTTTATAGTTCATTCCTATAGAATATAACTTAGTAAAAAGGTAAACAAATAGGTGACTGACCTGCCCATAGACGATTAGTTTATTTGTTTATTTTGTTTGCAGATGTCGTGCAAGGAAGCGATGGACTTATGGGGTTACGAGTTGGCACAGAATGCTACACAAATGGCAAGCAAAGAATTTAATCCTCTGAAATCATACGAGATCATCCCGTGATATCACACCCTGTAGAAACAAATTTTATACTCGCAATGAAAAATGCGTGCTAATGCATTATGCATATACGGTACGTATAATAATATTGGAAGCCTTTATATTTACTTCGTTGGTTGGTAAAATTCTAAGTTACGTCACTGTTTTATCTGTTCGTTACAAAGTAGAAAATCTACTTATAATAAGTATTATATAAATCCTTGAAAAAAGTAAAAGGGTTTAATAACCGCGTTGTTTGATTATAACTACAACGGAAATAATGATTTCGGAATCCTTTGTTTTCTCCTCAAAAATCTGGACTAATCTGAATTATTTCTCCGGAAATATTAATATTTGATTTCAACATTTACATATACATATCAATACAACACAGCTGTGATACATTGGATCCGCACTTGACTTGGCGAACCTGTATCGCGGAAGTCCACAAAAGGAATGCTATTACAGATCAGAGAGTTACTATTCGAGTTCATTTGTACATTATATATGAGAATGGCTGTAATACAGAATGGCATTTGGCTATGGCTTTCTTTATTTATATTTTTAAATGTGTTTAGGAAACATGATTTTAACAGTTTGAACTAAGTAAATTTTGTGATATTGAAAATTATTAAAATAAACTACATAGGTATAAAAGAAAGTAACAACATTGGGCAATGCATTTTAATTTTTATGGAAAAAATATTCTAATGTTATTGTCCAGTGTGAAATAGGATATATACAAATGAGTATATCAAATACACAGGGTATGTTTCCACTTAAGCGACCATTCTTTAGTATCTAATCGAGTTATTAATTCAGTATATAATAGTCGACAATATATTTCTATTTTTATTGTTTCAGATGTTCCATAGTCTTACTTTATCGCATTGAAGATTCGTTGCCTTCTATGTAGAGTAAGTGATGCATTGCTATTGCAAGAATCAACACGGTACTTCCTGGAAAGTATTTATGATTTATTTTCATTTAATTTATGTATAAATTGAATTTACATTTATTATATATTTATTATATTAATAATTTATTAGTTAATAAGTTATCTTACATTGTAATTCTTTGAAGTAGTTGCTATGATTACTAATGTATGAATATTATTTATTTTACATTATAGTTATCGACAGGTGTACTTAAATTATGAAATTTCTCGGTATACGGTAAATATATTTACCGAACACAATGTATATATCTATGTATTTTAATATACATACAAAAGGGTGAGAAAACGTATACTTCAATATTAGTAAAAAATGCTATATGCTAATGAGATAAGAGTAAAAATATGCAGTCATTTTTCAAATTTTTACTCTTATCTCGCCCCAGATACTACTTCAAATAATTACAAAATTCAACCCTAATGAATGTGTATATTAATATATTGATTTAGTATTGTTGCTATGATTCTCCTTAGTAATTTGAGTACTTTTAGCCAAAGTAAGCCATGTTAAGGCTCACTATGAAATAATTGTATATTGTTCTAGGACTAGTAATTTGTTTCGACTGTTGACTTTATTTGACTTTCTGAAGACTGATCACAACTCCTGTTTAATAATTATTCTTCCATTAAATAAAGTATAAAAGTATTACAATAAACAAACACAAATGTTCGAATAAATTGTATGAGCTCGGGTTGTGCACTGCACCGGGAGTGTGTTAATATATCACATTGTAAAAGATGGACCATTAATTAGGTTAAATATGGGAATTGCTTGAGATAATAGAAATTATGCATAATCTAAAACGACGTGAAAGCGTTTATATATGCAATTCTCATTTTTATCGCTTGCGTTTTAATTATTAAGCTTAGGCAATTAATATTTTTAGCACTCACGGAATTGACGAATTGTTGATGCTTCCATTGTAAACGCGTTGATTGTAGTTGTACTGATTGTAATTTCAAATTTCAGAAATGTAACCAATTTTATCATTTGAATTGGGTCGTCACTTTTCAGCTAAATTCTTGAAAATCTTTTCTCTTCCATTTCAATTTTCATAGCACGACAATACATGTTTATGCGACAAATAAATGTTTTGTACTTGTATACCAATACTAATAACTAATATGTTTTATACATATCTATATAATTACACGTATGTAGGAAAAGTGGTATAAAGTAAAAATTGTAACTGTATAGTCACCTTATTTGACTTTAAAAATTAAAGACGTTTTCAATTTTATTCTATTTGTGTTATCTAGTGAGATATGTGAAATTCAGTATTTTTATTGATTCTAAAATTTTTATGATTTATATATTATATAATACTCTTGATCTGTAAGAATTTTATGACGACATAAGTATTTTTTTAAATTTCTAACCAAATATTAAATGTTATAGGAACATGTATTTTTTGGTTGTTCGTTTTTATTACACAACATGTATATATCAAGTGGATTATATAGTTGCCGATGGAAGTATCGAACGCTGATATATAATCCAATACGATAAATCAATACCCTTATCTGTGCAATAAAGAAGTAAATAGTTCTGCATTGCAATTACATAAACATAGAGCTCTCCATAGTTTGCAACTAGATGGCCTTCTGTGAATTGTACCGGGTGATTATTATTGGGGACTATATTCGGTAGGAATAGATATTACGAGTTGTATATATGCCCTACAATTACAACGGGCTATTCACTTGGTATATACTATTGTAGGTGGCTTAAAAGCTACAATTTTGCCTATTATTAGCAAATGCTATTGTAGTGCAATTAATCGGGGTGCTATATATGCACTATAGCCATATAAATATCTAATCGTCACATTAATACGAGTACAGGCCTAATTTTAGATAGATTACAGAATTCGAAGCTATTGCTCGATTTTGCACTAATTGGCATTGGAATGAAATTATAAAATAGAATAGTATTAGATATTGTACATTGAACAAACGTGCTCATTTTATGTTAAGTTTCAGATATAGGTAAAACAAATTGATTTTGTCACTCCGTCTTTACTTATTTGTAAAGCAACACATCACAGTATGCTGTGCATGTTTCCAATTGCTATAATACATGTAATTCACCTTTAATTGAATGCTATAGATGATTAATTCATATGATAAATGTATTTGAAATGTATCTAAATACCTGGGAGCACAGAAGCAAATATTATTTATTGAATATTTTGTCAAGTTACTTCGATCAATTATACTAGTAGATATCAGTCGACTAAGTGAACATTGAACTCTTTTTTTAAACAGATACAGTAAATAAGTAGGTCATTATAGTGGTTTGTATTTTTTGATTAATTATTTTTATTCTATTTTAATGCACTAGGCTTATTTTGACAACAAAAGAACACTATATTTTGTAGTTAAGGTTATATTGATACCGATGAATTGTTGTTTTGATAAGTTTCGTTATTTACAGTAAGTTCCTACAGTGAAATATTTAATGATGTTCCTTTGATGCCTTTTATTTATCTAATTGGTATTTTTGATCGAAGACTTTCTACAAATAAAACACCAAATCGAACACCAATTTATATATAAAAATAAGGTTTATAAGGTATCATTGAAATATATTTAATTGTTATTAAAATGTTGTACTTATAATAGTTCACGTGTCGCAAATTAAACATAATCGTGTTAGAAAGGAATAACTGTTAGGCAAATTGTTCTAGCTCCGTCCATAAGAATGTGCGATCTCGATATTTTAATATCTAAATATCGTAATAAGTGACAAGTTCCTGAAATGATATGTTTATTATAATTTATATGAAACAAACACAACAACACCTGCCGCTGACATTGCAAGCGCGTTTTTTATATTATTTTGTCATAATCTAATTCATCTATAACTACCATATGCAACCTGTAACAAAGTTCTATGCTAATATGCTATAGAGACTGAATTTTGTTATGATGAAGGTAAACTTCGCAACTACCGGTTAGATTTGAGAAATTCTTTTACTGTTAATTATATATACTAATATAATTAACAGCTCATAACAGTGAGTTTTGTATATGGTACTACTACCATATACAATACTCACTGTTATAAGCACCTCAAAATAGGGTAAGCTTCCGGGGCGAGCCTCTAAATAAATTAGAAAATATAGCTTATTTGCATGTTACGAAAAAAATACTTTAAATAAATAACTTTTACATTATTGCCGAAATATTTCTCGTAATTTTGCGTAAAAGGCGCTAGGAAAAGTATTATTTAAACAGCATTATCATTTTAGTGGCAGAATATTTGATTTTAAATTGTTGATACAGAACAGACTGCTCTTATAATTTAATAAAGTGCAATTCGCAAGTTTAGACTAAATGGCGTTACTCTAGTTTGGCCTAACTGGACTTCTTAATTTATGTTTAGAGCTGTGTAACGATTTGAGATAAAACATTCATTGATGTTGTTGTGGCTTCGCGTTCGTATAAAGGGCGGATTATTAAAACAATTTCCTTGTAACCACAAATTTACAAGTTTTGTAAACATTGAATGTTCTAATATCTACCATAATACATGGTTAAATTGAGCTTATAACTGCAATATAATACTAGATATAAGATAAACTTCCGCACAAGGGTGAGATTACATACAATATTGTATCTAATATATAAAAATAGATATATACTGTATATAAATAATTTCTTTTTCACGGCAGAAGATATTATGTTGAATAATAATTGCTTCGCGTTATTAAAATTGTATGTTATATTTGAAAGTCAATTCATGCTCAGTAAGGTAATGATATCATATCTTGACTAAAAGTGTATGCCTACATGCGTATACGTGAATGTATTGAAAAACAACGAATGCCCCATGTATATATAAAATTAGCATTTTTTCTAATAGTACAGGCAAAAGCTAGTTAGAGGATTACCTACTCTTTTAACAGCAAGATGAATGAAAGAGTTAGTTTACTTTATTGTCTATGATAAAAAAAATACGATGTATGTTATTTATTATGTAATGAGTGATCATTATTATGAAATTATGAAATTTCTGTATTCATATAAGAAATCAACGTAAATTGAATGTTTTCATTCGCTCTATTCAAATTGCCATTTTTTTTTTTGTTCCGTTTTCCCTTTTCAGGGAAAGGCAAAAGGTTTCAGCTCATACAGCCTCAAATTGCCATTCTTATACAATTCAACAGTCATTAAAATGACTGACATTTACTCATCTGTAAATGTTGTAACCAGAAAATAATGGCGGTACTTGACATACCTATATTAGGATTTATTATTTTGTCGTATGGGGCATTCATATTTGTAGATGTAAGTAGCCTAATCATAATTATTATAACCAATGGAACTATTAATGTAGTGAGAAATTAAGTGCACTTGATTCTAAGGTAGATTGGTAGGGGTAATGGTAAATACGATAATATAAGTATTTGAATGTATTAATTTTCTCGAAACTTCCAGTGGTGTTTGGTTTTGTAGTGTAGATAACTTCTTCAATACTTCAGTCACTCCTAGTGACTATAAAATGATATATACTCCGTAGGTTAAAATCTTATACTTTGAAAAAGTCATGCCATTGTATAATAACAGTTTCATGACTAACATATATTTATTAATTATATATTAAGTTATTAACCTATATTTATACAATGTAATCTTTTATTTGGACTCATAAAATATAGTCTTATTTATATAGTTAAATCATAAAAATAAATAATAATTTGGACTTTGTCTCTCTTTCTATAGATTAATTAGTTTTAACGTAACTATACAATGATGTCATTTACACATTAACGCAACATGGTAACTACCGTAAACTAATATTATTATTTTCAAATAGCCATCTCAAAGCTAACAATAACTGACACTGCAAATGTTATTATTTTCATTAAACAGCCAACTAACAACTAACAATTTCACAAAATTATTTTTATTTATGCGTCTACAGTAAACGATAATTTAGTTTTAATTAAATTATCTTAGAAAATTTAAAAACAACTATTTGTATTCGGTATTTTACT